ACCTGATCAGATCTTCCGGGTGTGCTCCCCACCAAGTTCCAGTGATTGTACGAAGAAAATTGATTCTTTGTTGGCATTTTTGTTTCACATACGCAATATGTTTTCCCCATGTGCTTTTGGAATCGAACCAGACACCTAAATACTTGAAAGATATACTTTGAGTGATTGTTCTACCCTTTAGTTGAAGCTGTAACTGTGCAGGATGATGCTTCCTAGAAAAAACAACCAACTCAGTTTTCTCCGGAGAGAATTCGATACCCAGCTTCATAGCCCAAGTAGACAAATTGTCTAAGGTATCTTGCAATGGTCCTTGCAGGTCCGGTGCACTTGGCCCTATAACGGATACAACGCCGTCATCTGCAAGCTGCCTTAGCGAGCAATTTTCATCAAGACAACCATCAATGTCTTTTACATAAAAATTATAAAGAAGGGGGCTTAAACATGAACCCTGGGGGAGACCCATGTAACTAATTCGTGAAGTTGTCGAGTTTCCATGAGAAAAGCTCATATATTTCTCAGACAACAAGTTGCTCAAATAGTTGTTCATAATTGGTGAAAGCCCACTATCGTGGAGTTTATCCGAAAGGACATCGATACAAACAGAATCAAAAGCCCCCTTAATATCCAAGAAAACTGAACCCATTTGCTGTTTTTGCGCATGAGCCAGTTGAATTTCAGTTGAAAGCAACGCAAGACAGTCGCTCGTTCCTTTGCCTCTCCGAAATCCAAATTGCGTATCTGAAAGTAAACCATTCGACTCGACCCATTTGTCTAGACGAAAATGAATCATTTTCTCCAACAATTTCCGTATACAGGACAGCATCGCGATGGGACGGTACGAGTTATAATCCGATGCGGGTTTACCGGGTTTTCGAATGGCGATAACTTTTACTTGCCTCCAGTCATCTGGAACAATGTTGTGCTCCAGAAATTGATTGAATAAGTTCAACAAGCGTCTCTTCGCGACATCTGGGAGATTTTTAAGCAAGTTGAACTTGATTCTATCCATTCCTGGAGCTGAATTGTTACATGAAAGGAGAGCAAGTGAGAATTCCACCATCGAAAACGGGGAATCTATTTCGTTATTACCCGACGGACGATCACGAACGTTGGTTTGAACCGACACCGAATCCGGGCAAACTTTCCGCGCGAAGCTGAATATCCAACTGTCCGAGTACTCCTTGTCTTCGTTAATCGGTGATGACGCGTTTCGCATTCTCCTGCCGACATTCCAGAGTGTTCTCATGGAAGTCTCTCGCGACAAACCATCGACGAACCGACGCCAGTAACCGCGTTTTTTTGCTTTAATTAAGTCCTTAAAAGTTTTCTCGAGGTCGGTGTACCGCTCGAAATCCCCGACCTTGCCGTGTTTGCGGAACCGTTTAAACGCGGCGGACTTCTCGCTGTTCGCGTCGGTGCAATCCTTATCCCACCACGGGGTGGGAGGCCGCTTGCGGACGGAAATACCCGGAACACGTTTCGTCTGTGCTCGCAGCGCAGAATCGATGATAAGACGCGCGAGAAAGGAGTACTCGTCCAGCGGAGGAAGTACGTCAACCGATTGGCTGGCATCAAGAACCGCGGTCGCGAATTTTCGCCAGTCAATGTTTTTTGTAAGATCGTACGCGATGTCGACCGAACGAGTAGAAGATGAACCATTGGTAATAGAAATTTTGATTGGCAAATGGTCACTACCGTAGGGATCTTGAATTACTTTCCACGAGCAATCCAACGATAGTGAACTCGAACAAAGTGAGAGGTCTAATCTGCTTATTTTTGCTGGAGGTTTGGCTACTCGTGTTGCTTCCCCGGTGTTCAGAATTGTCATTTTGAAGAAGTCGCACATGTCGTATATCAAGGTTGAGCGGTTGTCGTCGTACAGTTCCCCCCAGCCTGTACCGTGAGAGTTAAAATCTCCCAAGATCAACCGTGGCTCCGGCATAGCCGTGCAGATATCCGAGAAACTTTGACGAGAAATCGCAGTTCGCGGTGGAAGATATACTGAGGCAATACTGAGGCATTTACCTCGAATATTAACCTGACATGCAACAACTTCAATGCCTGTCACCGAAGGCAGATCGATTCTGTAGAAGGAATGGAGCTTGTTGATCCCCAGAAGCACCCCTCCATACGAATCTGCGCGGTCAAGGCGAATAATGTTGAAATCGTGGAAAGCAAGATCGTTGTCTGAAGAGAGCCATGTTTCACAAAGGGCAAATGCATCAGAAAGTGAGTTGTTAACTAAAAATTTAAATGTGTCAAGTTTTGGCATAAGACTTCTACAGTTCCACTGAAGAACAGAGATCATATCCCCGACCTCATTCGGAGAATTATCCATCGAAAGATATGATCGATGCAAGGAAGGACCACCTAGAAGCTAGTTGCTTCAAAAGAGTTTTCACCATTGGCAGCACTAAATTAATAATGCTCCTCGTTGAGTCAGAGACATTGAATATACTGAAGAAGCTATCCACAATACCAGAAAACGTGAACATGGGGGCATGTTCTTGCTGATTATTCAGCTGCTTTTCTGGCCGAAAAACTGGGACATCTGGGGTTTTAGATGATCCTGGAAGTGACGGAAAGTTCTTGTCATAATTACAAGGTTTAAAACCCGGTGGAATGGGTTTCGGTGTATTTCCGTTACCTCTTGAATTTTCCAAGGTGGAAGGGTGGTCCGTACGAGTGGCCTTACGAGGCTTTTCGGTGGTGTGTTGTTTTGCTCGTTTTCTCGTATTGCCTTTAAAGACAAACGGACTACCCTCACCGCCCTCTGAGTCAGAGTCTAGATCATCAACTGGCAAAATGGAGAACGTGTTACTGTTTTTTGGTGTGGTCTGAGAAGATGAAGCGGTATTCTTCAAGAGTTCTGCTAGTGTTCTCTTGGAGCGAGCTTGCAGAGACCGCTTAAGTTTTTCTCCCTGCTGTTTATACCTCGGGCAGTTAGTCAGGGTATGCAGGCTCTCCTTGCAGTACACACATTTTGGTGGAGCACCGCAAGGGCCCTCTTGATGTTGCTCGCCACACTGATCGCAGCGTGGTTTGTTCGAGCAGTAGTCCGATGTATGACCAAGTTGTTTACATTTCGAGCAGTTCATTACCCGAGGTACAAACAGACGTACAGGCAGCCGAACCTTGCCAATAGCGACGTAGTGAGGTAACGCTGAACCCGAAAACGTCACACGAAACGAGTTTGACAAGGAATAAGTTTTTTTGGAGCCTACTACGGATACTGACTGCATTTGAAGGCAGTCCAATATCTTCACCTTCGGCAGAGCACGGTTTTTAAAGATTCCGAAGGAATCGGGACCCAAGAAATCATCACTAGTCAAACTCGCTTCGGTGACCACTCCTTCAATTTCTACCTCACTACTGGGTATGTAGACTCGGTATTCCAATGAAAAAAGCTCGCACGCAACAATTTGGTTAGCCTGCTTCCGGTCATCAACGGTAACGTGCAGTTTTATTGGTGTTACCTTGAAAATATCGGTAACGGCCGAAAAATGTGTTGTTAGATCCTTAGAGATCCTCGGAATGTTCAAAGGTTTTTGTTTGGGCCGGAAAAAAACAACCCATGGGCCTTTCGAGGCTTCTGGGTAAGCCTTTAGGCGGGGGAGAGCAGAGGTTTTTGGGGGCAATGGTGTGGGGGGTGCAGGTGGACGAGGAGGAGATGGTGGGGGAGAGGGTTGTGGGCGATACCTTTTCTTGGGATATGCTCCAGTATTTTTGCTGGAGAGCGAGTCAACTGGAACGTCAAGGGTTTCCATTTCCACAACTTCCTCGAGACTTTCGTGTGAGGTGGAATTAAGAGTTTCGTCGTCTGAGATGGAAAGCGACCATCCCCCGCCTTTATCATTTTCATCCATTGCGGTTAAATATCGCCGCAATGGTGTTTTTTGTAAAAATTTTTACAAATAATTGCAGTAATTTCAAATAATATCAAAAAAAAATATATATATATATATATATAGTTTCACTCTACTAACGAGTAATACATGCAAAAAAAAAAATCAAAAAAAAAAAAAAATAATGATTATATACTATTTACAGAGTTTTGGATCACCCTAAGTAATACAAAAACTAATAATAAAAAAAAAAATCAAGAAAAAAAAATCAAGCGAAAAAAAAAATTGGATTTTTGGATCACCCTAATTAAACACCAATCTAATATTGGACCAGGGAAACAAGGAAGATGCTATACTGGCGAGAACAATACAAACGACACGATTTATACCTAACGCACTGAGGCGGCAGCAGACTGGAGAGATATAATTGTTTGATCCAACTGCTGCAGAGTCAATAACCTCGATGCTGGTGTGCCTCGGTCGACTCGGTAGGCAATATGACGCTCTTTCGTTGTTGCTATCGGTGGGGTGATGTACCGATAGTGGTGATGATTTTGCTGATGATGTTGCGATGATGCTGGGTTAAAGCTGGACCGTAATGAAAGCACTCGGCATATCATTAACGGCTTCCTCACTCGCGCACTAGTCGTCTAAACACTATGCCAATTAACTTTGGCGAGAAAAAACCCTCGCGTGGGGAAAAACTCAAAACTAAATAATAGTGTCGTACAACGAGACCGATGCGACTTGATCGGCTCAGCGTGCGAGACGGAATCTATGAGAGAAAATAAAAAAAACGATTTTGATTTACTTTTTGTCAAGATTATCATGGAAAAAAAATCACCGAGAACATAGAGCTTGATTTTCCGATTCTATGCGGTGAGATAGAATTTCGTAATATTGAAACTATGTGAACATAATTAATTAAAACTGATCTTTCCCATACATAATGAACTACTTTTCCTACCAGCACAAATTGAGCGCGAGAGAAGGTTCAAGTCCTCTCTCTCTGTCTTTCTCTGTAGTCAGAACTGTCAAAAATACCTGTCATCCGTCAGCTTTCCGTCAGTTTCATTTTGGTTTGGCTCGCTGCTGTTTTTCCTCCTCAATTAAAGTAAATAAAAATCTGGAAATTAGATAGCAGAATTCTATATTATTACACGATGGTTGGACTTCGAAAACGAAAACTGACCGTTCAGGATAAAAACTCCGGGAATCCATCCAACCTGCCGGTTCCACAGGTAACCTTTAAATGTGTTGCTATAGTTTGTATTAGCTAACAAAACATGAATCATTTTGTAGATGCCAGCTTTGAAAACTACAAGTGCCAAAAAAACAGCGGCAGCATTACGGAAAGAAGCTTGTAACCTGAGAATTCCAACAAAAGGGACCAAAGCGGAATTGGAAAGAAGGTAAGACAGGACGTATATTAGTGCTGCGCAGGAAAATCACTTAGTCCCGTGATAGCGATAATTGGTCATTAAATCAACCAAATTTGATGTGATAATACACATTTCCCATCAAACTGGAAAACAAGTCCGTTTGTTATTTGTAGAAGTGCGAGTTTGCATCTTACGTCTTGGTGTTTGCATTAAACTTTTTATGAAGCAAGAATAAGTGTGCCGATGAAACCAAAACGATTCAACGGAAACGTGAACGTCCCACACTATTATCTATGCATCACTTATTGCCATAGGAAAGCTTCTTCTAAAAATACGATTTTATCACAAGTTAGAATGTGATTCCACCGACTAAGCAACTTGTTTCTTTACTGTACATGCGCTGTTATCGGAAACCTTTATTCTAGCGTATACTAGCTTTTCTCAATGTACTTTTCCCGCAACGAAAACTAGTTAGTTTTTATACGGTAAGTGCACTAATTTTTGGCCTAGCACTAGTTGTAATATAGGATAATAGTTACTATTATATAACTAATTTTCGCTATCCTTTGCAGCGCATACGATTGATGATATATTGTTGGATTATATTTTGTTTTTTTTTTCATATTTTAACAGGATAGAGCTTTATAGAGAAAAGAATCTGAACACCACCTTGATTTCACCCGTTAAGCTCATACCAGCACTTGATCTAACGAATTTTGAAGATCTACCGCCTTATAAATTACTACATGAGATGACCAGGATTGATGTACAATGGTTTGTAGCTACAATAGTATACAATTATTTTGAAATTCGACAAGCACTAGCTGGATACAAACATGGAAGAGAGCTGCTGAAAGATAATTTTCTAAAAAATGTATGTTTTGCTCAGGTAAGTTGAATAATCATTGGGCTTCATTGAGCCTGTCGATGTTGACAAATAAATAAATAAATTAAGAAGATAAACACATGTAATAACAGAAACTATGTTTAAAAATTAGAAAGGATATTTCAGAACATGAATTCAACTGTATTTTCTTCTTAATTATTTTGATTATCCTCTGGTAGACATAATTATGTTGAATGTTTTAGTATTGATGTTATATATGTATGGATTTCAGATTGCAGATGATGTTTTCCAGGTACGTGCTTATTGTAGCGCGACCATGAAAAAAACACAGCTTTATCAAGTAAAGTTTGAGATATGCAGCAAGAGACAACAGATAACAAAATCAAATTGTGAATGTGTGGCAGGCGCAGGAAATTTCTCTGCATGCAAGCACGTTGCAGCGCTGCTTTGTTGTGTGGAAGAATTTGTAACTACTGGTTTGGTTTGATTGTCGTTATTAAAGAGATTTTCTAATAAAGGTTATCCATTTATGATATGAAAATGTTAATATTAATGTTCCAGATCAAAAGCAAAAAAAAAAACATTCAAACTCGACCTTCTATTGTTTGCATGAAACTTTTCACAATTGTTTGTTTTAGTGTCTAAATTTAATTGATAACATGTTTTTACTCTTAGGACAAGTCATTCAAAACCCAGGATGTACGAACGCTCTGCAGGCTTGGCACAAACCTCCGATCCATCGAAAATATTATGTCAAAAAGAAAGCAGAAAACATTGAGAATCAACTGTGCTGTGCCTGCTCTTGAAGATAACGCTCTATGCAAGCAAACAACTGATGAACTCATAAATATAACTTTAAATGCTGGGTTGAGCAGCACTATGAACACCAACAGGGTCGTTAATATGATTGGGTTAGCGAATGACCACGATTATGCTGAAAAGTCCATATACGAAATGACTATGGAGACAATTAATAATATTGCGCCTTCAAAGGCAATTGATATTGAACTAAACACAAGAGAACAAAGCTCTTCAAATTTATGGTTTGAAGTAAGGAAATCTAGGATAACGGCATCTAAAATTAAAAGCATACTAACTGCAGTAAAAAGTAGTAAAGCCAAAAATATTCTGTGTAATACAGCTCCATGCAGATTCAATTTCTATAAGAAAGATTTGTCTAAGGTTCCTCAAATTACCTGGGGCCAGTCTCACGAAAGTATGGCTTTTGAGAAATTTGTTCAAATGTATAAAGGTGACAACACCTTTCGGAAAAGTGGAATCCACGTTGATATAACCAGTAACTACCTAGCGGCATCACCAGATGGTATTTGTTGTTGTGGAGAAGACATTTTAGAAATTAAATGTCCTTATAGTATAAGGTTCGACGTACCAACTAGAGTGAAATATTTGGATAAAGAAGGAGTTTTATTGAAATCGCATGAATACTACTATCAAATACAATTTCAATTACATGTTGTGAGAGCAAAGATTTGCCATTTTATGGTATATACGCTAAAAGGTATTCATTGTCAACTAATTGAATACGAGTTCGGTGTTTCTTAGTAAGAGATGGTTAATAATAGCTATAATTTTATTTAGTTGTCAAACTTTCAATTTGTTTAAATATCGGTACAACGAAAACACTTAAAATAAAAATACTAAAAAATCAAATGTACGAAAAAATACGAGAAACCATCTAAACCTATCAACACACTTGTTAAATATAAAAGTGTTCAATTTTGTTCTTTGATGGCGTTCCATGATGACCGTCAGGCTTTGTGGGGCCATGGGTTAATTGTTCATGTATTTTACGTGTCATAGTAATATACATGTGCATTAATTCGTTTTCGATGACTTCACGATATTTGTTTTTATTTTGCTCACACACAACACTTACAATTTCCATCAACTGATTTACAAATAGATTTTTTAATATTAACTAACCAAAATAACAACTTGAAAATCCGCGGCATAAGCTCAAAAAGACTATGAAGAACTTTTTGAGCTAAAATTCTATTTTTCTTAACTAAACCAATAACTCGTTCAACATTAATTCTTCTTTTTGCAATAGCTCTGGTTTGCACCACCTCGTTTTCTTTCATCTGACTCCCATATTTTCTCGGCGGTTTATTTAAAATAACACCCTTTTCTGCTTGCAAATCCGTAGCATCAAATTATCTGTCAGCCAGTATACAATCTCCTTCTTTCATTTTCTGTATTATTTCTGATTTGGCCACAATAACGTTATCGGAAGCTGCTCCTCCGTAGAGTGTAGAAACAAATGTAACAGTTCCGGCCTCATCAATTCCGATTAGAGATTTAAAAGTATTGCAGTTTTTATAGCTGGACCATGTCGCCTGTTGCTCTTCCGGCGACGTAGGCTTTTGTATTGGTATTTCTGTACAGTCTAATATAACCGTGTACAAATTTTCCCCACTTACTCTCATCCCCCAAAAATCGACCTTATTAAATTTGTCACTCAATAATATTGTCCAATACTTGAATATTTTTGAAACGCTACTGCAATGAATTTTGAACATGATGCCAAGAAAACTAAAATCAAAATTTTATCTATATTTAATGAGCGTAAGTAATAGCTGTGCCTTTAGTGGTAGATTTTGGAATGGCCAATCCGCGTCCAATTGATTCTAAACGGTAAAACAAAAAATAGCATTGAATTCCGAAATAGAATGACCCGAGAGATATTTCATGTCGTCATCCGACAGGCTTTCCATTTTTCCAGTGGCCAAATTTATCAACTTAAGGCAAGATTCACGTTCTTCAGTAGACTCCAAATGTACATCCGTTGATTCTTGGGTGTCTCTGTAAGAAATTATGTAAATAAATAAGCATACTTCCATGAAATACCTTAATTAATATAACTGCATAAATTATAATTATCGCGTACCAATTGTGATAGCTTTTATAAACAACACTTGAAATGCCCTTTTCGTTAGAATCGAAGTTCACCTTCGCAAAAAACGCGTAACAAGTTTTATTTACCAAATAGATAATAGGCTCTTTTCAAATTTAACGCGAGAATTCAACTAGTTATATTAAATAGAAGGTTTATAACATTTATTATAGCATAATCGTCAAAAAACGTACCTTGCTTCTCTGCCGTCATCTTCTACCTCGCATTCTCCAGCAACATCTTCGTTTTCCGAAATGACTATAGGAACGCGGTCAGTAGCTGTTGGATTGCTCCTTGGACTTCTGGGGGAGTGGGCTGAAAATGGTTAGTAAGTTCTGTTGAGCTATTGTTCAGACTGCTAATAAATGAGGCGTAAAATTTGAAAACGGCACAAAATCTTTTATAACAAAAAATTGTAAGACCCTTTTCACGCAAACCGAAGTACGCCCACGCAAACCAATACCACTATCAAAAAGGGGAGAACTTCCCCTACCAGATAATTTTGGGGGCTGTTCATAAACTACGTAGCCATTTTAGGGGGGTGGGGGTTGACAATTATCCACGACCCATACACATTTTTTTTTTTTATGGACGATTGTCTACACAAGGGGAGGGGGGGGGGGGTCAATGATACAAAAAAACTGTCTACGTAGTTAATGGACAGTCCCTTGATGGTTTGCGTGAGCTTATTCCGGTTAGTGTGTAATTGTATTTACCTTCATATGTTCGACCGTTGAAGAGGTTCACACTTTCAGGATAGTTGGAACTACATGGCACATCGTTGATAATACTATCCAGTATGGATTCACCAAGTGGATCAACTTCCTCCTTATCGTTCGTTTCGGCGAATGGTGATATCGCCACTAGTGAAAAGTCCTTTAACAAGAATACAATAAACTGAAGTGAAATATATAACATGACAATTCACTTACCTTTGATTCATTTTTACTTTTCTTCTGAAGTGGAAGATTGAAATCCGGAACAGCTAGTGGCTGCAATCTCCCATCTACAAACAGATAGTTAGTAGATAAATAAATATAAAATTAATGGTATTTGTGTTACCTTTCAAATATTGCCGATCCGAGAAATGCAGTGAGCACACACGAGCTGATCGGTATTTAAATTTTCCTCCTATTCGCAGCGCCCACAACCACTTCCTTAAACGATAATCAGGAGATGGAAAGCGATGAAACGAAACACTTGATGATTTAAGGCTAACACTTTTGCATCCGAATGCACAACAACTCGTAGGCATGATAAAAGTAATCGAATGAACTTGCTCAATCAACCAATTGTTTTTGTTTTTATTGATCGAACACCGAATGTTTTGATGCGGAATGTAAACAATCACAGTCAATGGTAAGGGTCTGATCGCCGGATAGTATGATTAAAAATAAAGATGAAAATGTATCTGAAAACAGGATGAACAATGCTTTCTGTACAAATTTAAAATTTGAATCGCTCATATGAAATGTTTTTATATACCAAGCAAGCATTTGCCTAGCAAGAATGATGTTTTAGAGGATTTAACATTATAATTCAAATAAGATCCAACCCTCATCCACTACGGTACTTCTCGTTATGCTCAGTAACGCCATCTGTTGCTTTATTTATGGTGTGGTTCATTCGCAACAGATGTCACTACTGTGCCTAGCAGCGCCCTCTGAAGGATTATGTGTACAAAATCATCATTATATAATTAATCAATATTACATGACATGTTTGTTTACGTCTCATCTTTTATGTCAAAGATGGATTCCATCACGTGTAAAATTAGTTATTTCTAAGTGTGTTGTTCTGAAAGATTCTCTAAGAATACAGGTTCAATTCCGTCAGATCCGGGTCCTTTAGAAGCGTCCAAATTTTTTAGTGCATTGAGGACTTCATGTTGACATATTTGATTGACAGATATGTTGTTAGAGACTTCGGGAATGAATGCAAAGAAGTCGCAGTCGCGGTCTTTTTCATAAAATGTGGTGTATACTTCCTGAAAGAAATTTGCAAAGAGATTGCAGATTCCAGAAGGATTTTCACCTACATTTCCATCAAAATGCATTCGTGACGGAAAATTTTAACTTTTCAATTTCGTTTTTACATAATTGGAAAA